CGGTAGTCTCCCACCAGCGCATCTACCTGCGCCGAGGTGTAGTAGGCCAGCAGCGCTGCTGTGATGGCGCTGGTCGTCTCCGCGTCCTGCGCTGCCCCTGTGCGGTAGTCTCCCAACAACGCGTCTACCTGCGCCGAGGTGTAGTAGGCCAGCAGGGCTGCTGTTATGGCAGCGTCAGTGCCCGCCGTGGAGTAGCAGTCTGCCGTGATGCTCAGCGTGTCGTCGCCGTTGGCAAGCGCAGCAGAGAGAGGAGCCACGAAATGCAGGTTGCGAACGACGTTACTTCCGCGAACGAGCTCCCAAGTCGTGAAGCCCGCCCAGGCCGGCGCGTTAACAACTCCGCCGCTGCCGGAAAGCTGCAGGGCTGCGAGCTCCGCGAGGATTGCGTCGAGGGCGCTCTGGAGCGTGGTCTCGCTGGCCGAGAGCGCGGCGTTCGTGGCGTATGAGGCCAGCAGCGTCGCGTCGGCCTTGGCCCCCTGGAGCGCCGCGATGCTGGCGTCCCGGCTAGCAAGCTGCGCTGCGACGAAGGCCTCGGTGGCGAGACCCAGCAGGGCATTTGCTATCTTGGTGTCTACCTCCAGCGGCGTGTCCAAGCCGTCCACCGTGGAGAGCAGGGAGGCCAGCGCGCTTGCGTCCGCCTTGCCGAGGAGGGCGGCGTCCAGGGCTGCCGTGGTGACGGCGTCCAAGAGGGCCGTCGCTATCTTAGAGTCCACCTCCGAGGAAGTGTCCACGGCCGACTGCAGGGCGTAAGCAGTCAGGGCGCTGGCGTCTGCCTTGGAGGCCTGCAGCCCCGAGATGGAGGCGTCTCCGGCCCCCAGGAGAGCGTTGGCCACCTTGGTGTCCACCTCCAGCGGTGTGATCCTCGCCGCTATGTCTAGGGAGTGCTGGTCCACCACCGTCTTGAGGCCGTAGTTGGCGGCCACCGTGGCCAGCGTGGCGTTGTTGGCCGAGGCGATGGAGCCGTTCATGGCCGCCGTGGTGCTGTAGTTGGACAGCTTCAGGTCCACGCCGTCCGGGGTGCTCTTGGTGGCAACCACGCCCTCCAGCACGTCGAAGGCCGACTGGTCTGCCTTGTTGGAGAGACCCGTGGTCAGCGAGCTCTGCAGCGCTGCGATGCTGCTTCCGTGCGCGGCCACCTGACCGTCCGTGGTGGCCAAGGCCGCAGCCGTTGCTAGGGGCGCAATCGCCGGCGCCAGCGCGCTGCTGTCCAGCTTTGAGGCCAGCTCTGCGGTGACTCTGTCGTCCAGGGACTGGATGGCAGCGGCGTTGTTGCCGGAGGCTGCCGTGTTCACCGCCAGGTCAGTTACTTGAGCATAGGGCGTGAGAGCGAGGGCCAGCTGTCCTGCTGTGACGTGCGTGCCGTCAGTCACCTCTCCGTTGTCCAGGACCTCTGGGATGTTGCCCGTGACAGGTCCTTCAAACATGTTTTCTTAGGAGTAGGTCTATAACGCAGGGGTGTTGTACTTTCGCAGCGCTCCCTCACTTGAGTTATATCAACTCGCAACAGCCCCTGGCAGTACGCGAAGTGGCGCAGTGACCTATAAAATCGGCCACTGGGCATGATGCGATGAATTGACCGAACATCTCGGTCAAAAGCGCTTGGGTCACCTCGGCCACATGACGAGACCTGAGCCAACCTTGCCCAGACAAGCATACCGGCAGGAATGCGATTGAGGGAAAATACCCCTCAATTCAACTTCCCGTGCTGCCAGTACACGAACTCGCGCACTTTTCGGCCTCAAATGACGAAGCGGTGACAAGCGGTGACATGCTCGGCGGGCTGGAATTCGCCGCTTTTCCGGGCCGAAAGCGGAAAACTGACGTCTGGAGCCCGCTTTCGACCGAAAACCTGCAAATTTGGAGGCTCGGGCATCCCACTTGCAGTCCGACACGAAAAACGGACTCTTCGGACTCGACCGTTTTGAGCGCTTTTTGCACCAAAAACCGGAGCCGGATGGAGCGGTGACAGCAGTGGTGACATCAGTGGTGACAAGCTCGGCGGGCTGACGGACCACCTCGGCGGGCTGTCGGACTCCGAGCCTGGACCTCGGCGGGCTGTCGGGCCGCGAAAAACCATGCGGAGAAGGAGCTCGGGAACTGGGCCCGATTTTACGCACTTTTGCACCCAAAAAGCGAGTGGTGACAAAGCGGTGACAAGCGGTGACGAGTTCAGCGGGCTGGAATTCGCAGGCTTTTCAGGGCAGAAAACGGAATTCGGAGCACGGCGAAGGTCTGGAGCCGGTTTTCGGCGGAAAACGAGCGAACTTGGAGGCTCAGGCACCACTTTGGACGTCTGACACGAAAAAACACGCTTTGCGGAGTTCGCCGTTTTCAGCGCTTTTTGCACCAAAAACGGAGTGGTGACAAAGACCGGTGACATCGGAAAAACGTTCAGCAGGTTGAAGAACTTGGCTGTTTTGCAGGGTTTGGGGACCAAAAAACCAAAATTAATAGGATACTATAAGCCTATGTTCCTTACTACTCTGGGCAAGTCGGCCGCCGAGGGGCCGAACGACCGGCTGCAGGCCGACCTCATCGACTTCAGCCAGAACACGCGGGGGAAGACGAAGTACGGCCTGGTGGTGATGGACGTCTTCACCCGGGAGGCCGCCGTGGAACCTCTGCAGAACAAGAACGCCGAGACGGTGGGCCGGGCCACCAAGCGCGCCGCGCGGGAGCTGACGGGGGACGACGGGAACTTCGTGGTCACGACAGACCTGGGCAACGAGTTCGCCACGCTGGACAGGGAGCTGCCCGAAAATGCCGTGCACCGCACGAAGCGGCCCGAGGACCGCAACGAGTAGTAAGGAACATCAGCTTATACCACCCTAATTCATTTGGATTTTTGGTCCCCAAACCCTGCAAAACAGCCAAATTCTTCAACCCGCTGAACGTTTTTCCGATGTCACCGGTCTTTGTCACCACTCCGTTTTGGGTGCAAAAAGCGCAGAAAACGGCGAACTCCGAAAAGTGCGTTTTTTCGTGTCCGGCGTCAAAAGTGCAGCCCGGGCCTCCAAATTCGCTCGTTTTCCTCCGAAAACCGGTTCCAGGTGTTCGCCATGCTCCGAAATCCGCATTCTACCCCGAGCCCGCTGAGCTTGTCACCGCCGATGTCACCGGTCTCTAACACGTCAGCCCGCCCAGGTCCCGGGAGGAATCGAGCCTCCGAAACGTCGCTGCGGAGAGCAACGCCTAAACCATCTCACCACGGGCTCTCGCTACCTGTCCAAAACGGCGCTTTTTGGCCCAAAAACGGTCCGTGTCACCGCTTCGTCACCGCTCTCTTTGGGGCCGAAAAGTGCGCAAAAGGCTTGGAAAAGCGAAACCAGCTCCGCGGTTTCGGTCCGGCTTCGCTCTGCGGTGGCTTGGAAAAGCGAAGTCGGAAATCCGACCTCGCTCCACACCGAAGTCGGATTGGGGCCTGGTGCGGGCCTGGTGCGGGCCTGGTGCGGGCCCTCTCTACAGAGAGAGGTAGAGGTCTTGGTGAACTTTGCTGAAGGAGCTCAAACGGTGAGCTTCTTTAAATTCGCAGGTCGGGTGTTGCGCTGGCGTTCGCCTGAGAATTTGCAGATTCTCACTGTTTGAGAAACTGCTGAAAAGTCTTCTAAGGTGCTCTCTCTTTAGAGGGGGTTTCCCAAATGGATTCTATTCCACCTGGGAGGCTCCTAGCACTCGTCCGTCCAGGAAACGACCTCGTCCTGCGAAGGATTCCTAAAACGCTGCGTGCAGGCGTGTGGCTGCAAAATAGTGACCCCTAGATATGCTTGCAATTTGGCTCCAGGTTGCATTTCAAGCGAGCCAAGCTTTGCAGGGCTAAGAAAAAACAAAAACAGGAAAAAAAGGGGGTCCCCAAAAAAGGGGTCCGAAAAGGGGTTTTACATGAGGTGCATTTTGCACCGGTGAACAAATCAAACAAACCCCCTTCTTATTTGATGTCTTCTCCACGAAAGACGAGCCTGATTTGTTCGTCGAGGGTTCTCCCGTTCGCCCGTCTGTGCGCGAACTCTCACTCCGTCGCCGCTTTTTTTCTCTGCGGCGCGCGCGGTGCCATGGCATGGCGCAAACGCGGAGTTCTCTGCAATCCGGAAGTATTTTGCTGGTTGAGGTGCAAGATTCGGCTGTGGCTCAAAAACATGTACCAAAAAGGCACCTAAATGGAACCAAGGACTAAAACCTGCGTAACCCCGACTCTTTAATTTTGAGCCACACCCATGATGAATAATCTAAGTTCATGCCCACATCGCTGCAAAAGCGCATGGCGAACTTTCACTGCTCTCGACGCACTGCTCCACATGTGCAGAAGGCCATGCCTTGCATTTGAGGCGAAAGACCTAGGACTTTCACTGCTCTCGCCGCGTTTTTTTTGGAACCAGAACCGCATCGCCCTGTTTTGCTCATCGGGCTCTTTCCCCTTGAGTTTCTTCGACCTCCTTTCTGTTCCGACGTGTCACGAAAACGCGATCGAGCTTGCTCAACGGAAGTTTCCTTTTGAGCGTGTCAGATTCCGCGAGTAAAGAAAGGCAGCTCCCGTCGGCGGCAAATGTTTTGGTCGTGGAAACCCCGAGGCAAACGCGTCGGCCGCAAACTCCGGGTACCGTCGCCTCGTGGGGTTCCAAGGAATTCGAAGGAGAAGCTGAGCTGAGATTCAATTGGGTTTCTATGAAACCCCCAAAAACCCAATGGGTTTTATAAATGGAGGTTTCGTTGGATAAACTTGGGGCATCGAGGCACAATCAACGCGCCGTTTCCGGGGTGCTTTCTCGCCATGGCGTGCCCGCACCTGTCGAATCGCTGTGTCCCATGGGATCACGTTGATGCGCCAGTCGAAACATGGCGCAACCCCATCGTATGATGTCGACCCTGTACTAAAAAGGAGGTATTTACCATGGAAAACCAGGTTCTCCAAGAAATACCCTGAAAAAAACGGGCATTTGGAGTAGGGTGTCCTCTGCCAGTTGCGAGGTGACTCTCCGATGTTTGCTTCCGACTCGCAGTGGCTCAAGAAAGCCGGGGGGGGTACTGCGACAACGGCGAAAGCGCAAAAAGCGAGTTGCCGCTTTGCTGAAGTTATATGCGGGTTTGTCTTGAAATAGGGGAATCCCCCTTTTTCCATCGGCTTCCTTCTGGTTTCCCTTTACCCACCAAGGGGACCTAAAGACATCATGTCACGTTGGCTTCGAAAGGCGTTCCGAGCTTATCCCCGGCGGCTGGATTTCATTCCACGCGTAACGGCAATCCCATGGCCAAATCCGAAGCCCCGAACCCTCTGAAACCCACTGTTGCCGTACCCCCGAACCCAACCCGAAACCAACCCGAAACCAACCCAAAAACCCAACCCACCTTCAACTCACCCCAAGCCAACCCCAAACAATCCGATACCAACCCTAACCCAGCACTGCACCGACCTTGAACCAGTTTTGATTCCACCCTCAATCACCCTAACCACATCCCTGAACCCCTTAAACTTACCTCCCCGAATCCACCATGACCCCAACCTGAAATCCATCAAACCCAAACCAACCCGAAACCAACCCTAAACCAACCCTACACCAACCAACCTTCACTTCCAAAGCCACAATCATCCCCCCCACCGAAACCACACGTGCAGCGCCGTGGACTTTGCCAGAGCTCCATGAGTCGTTGCAAGAGGAATTGTGTTGATTTGGGGTGTTGCGACGCGGAAATTGGCGCGGTGTTGGTCTAGCTGGTTGGAAGGGAGCCGCAGGGAGCTGCCCGGTATCCAAACTTGCCTTGTTGCAGAAGCCTTTCGCTACCAGGAGGAGTTGTGGTTAGGGACATGTGGTTCAACTGACGATGGGCCTTTGTCAGCATTTTTTGAACAGCGGCCGCGCCGTTTTCCCAATCTGGAAACAGGTTGAACTCCCACTCCATTCGCTTCCTTCCCTCAAGCCGAGGACATGGCGGAGGCCGGGAAAGTGAGGAAAGAGGTGGGAACGGATGGGTTGACATGTCGCAGATCTCCTTTTTTTTTGCCAGCCAAAAGGGGTGTTCGGCAAAGAAATGCGCGGCGCACGTCCATTTACTCGTTTTGTCAACTCCCTGAGCCATGATTTTGAAAGCAGTTGAGCAATGGCGGCGAGAAGTGAAGCGTTCAGCTGACAGTCGTTGCCAACAAAACGTGCATGCCAGCAGCCTTTTCAGCTGCAGAATGGACATGGTGCAAGCCCTAGGATGCCCGTGCCTGCGACTGCATCCACACCTTCACCGGACACACCCGCTTTGTCACATCCATGTGCAGTCTTGGCAGGGATCTCTTTTGCAGCGGCAGCTGGGACAGCACCATCAAGCTATGGAACTCCCGAACCAAAGACTGCATCCACACCTTCACCGGACACACCAATTGGGTCAGATCCATGTGCAGTCTTGGCGGGGATCTCTTTTGCAGCGCCAGCGACGACAAAGCCATTAAGCTATGGAACTCCCGAACCAAAGACTGCGTCCACACCTTCACCGGACACACCAATTGGGTCATTTCCATGTGCAGTTTTGGCGGGGATCTCTTTTGCAGCGGCAGCTGCGACGAAACGATCAAGCTATGGAACTCCCGAACCAAAGACTGCGTCCACACCTTCACCGGACACACCAGTGCTGTCACATCCATGTGCAGTCTTGGCGGGGATCTCTTTTGCAGCGGCAGCTGGGACAGCACCATCAAGCTATGGAGCTCCCGAACCAAAGACTGCATCCACACCTTCACCGGACACACCAGTGCTGTCACATCCATGTGCAGTCTTGGCGGGGATCTCTTTTGCAGCGGCAGCTGCGACGAAACGATCAAGCTATGGAGCTCCCGGACCAAAGACTGCGTCCACACCTTCACCGGACACACCAGTGCTGTCAGACACTGTCAGATCCATGTGCAGTCTTGGCGGGGATCTCTTTTGCAGCGGCAGCTGCGACGAAACGATCAAGCTATGGAACTCCCGAACCAAAGACTGTGTCCACACCTTCACCGGACACACCAGTGCTGTCACATCCATGTGCAGTCTTGGCGGGGATCTCTTTTGCAGCGGCAGCGGAGACACAACCATCAAGCTATGGAGCTCCCGGACCAAAGACTGCATCCACACCTTCACCGGACACACCAATAGGGTCAGATCCATGTGCAGTCTTGGCGGGGATCTCTTTTGCAGCGGCAGCGGAGACGAATCTATCAAGCTCTGGAATTCCTGCACCTGTGGCTGCCTTCACACCTTACCGGACACACCTGTGCCGTCACATCCATTTGCACTCTTGGCGTGGATCTCTTTTGCAGCGCCAGCTTCGACCACACAGTGAAGCGCTGGAATTCCCGCACCTACGACTGCCCCCGCACCTTGACAGATTGGGTCAGATCCCTTTGCAGTTTTGGTGGCGACAAGATCTGGTTTGCACACCTTCACCGCCCACAAGGAAACATGCAGTTGTTTGATGCGTGCGCGGCCACGCAATCCTGTTTGCAGCGTGAGAGCAAACAAGGGCAGTAATGTTTCTGGTGTAGCAGACTTTTGGCCAAGTCTAAGCACTTGCAACACGCGGTGTCGAAAAAACACGTCAAAAAGGAGCCTTCCAGTGCAGACATTTGCGCGCCACATTTGGGTGATTAGTATTAATCTAGTTTTCTTATGCCTCGCTTGGTTTCAGCAAAATCAAGCACTGTAGTCAATGCGTCTAACCCCCTTTGCAATGGGCCTTGCTCACAGCGCTTTCGTTCCTCTTGTCAGGAGGAAGTTGTTCCGGATCAAGTCACGTTTTTTTCTTGTGTTTCCGATCCCCTGGCTGTGCCAATGGGAATGAAACTTTTGCCTATGGTGAGTCTGAGTTTTAGCCCAAGTCATCCAAACAAGTCGGCGAGGCAGCGTTTCTACTGGGAGGTCGATGGGCACGGTTTGATTTCCTCACCCAAGCCACTGCCAACGCTGCAAAAAATTGGCGCGGTGCGACCGCCATGCGTGGGGGGCCCCCACCCCCGCCCCCCCCGCACCCCCCGCCCTCCCCTATCCTGCGCAGGCGAGCCGCGATGACAGCCTCCACACCTTCACCGGACACACCAATTGGGTCAGATCCATGTGCAGTCTTGGCGGGGATCTCTTTTGCAGCGCCAGCGACGACAAAACGATCAAGCTATGGAGCTCCCGAACCAAAGACTGCATCCACACCTTCACCGGACACACCCGCTTTGTCACATCCATGTGCAGTCTTGGCGGGGATCTCTTTTGCAGCGCCAGCTGGGACACCACCATCAAGCTATGGAACTCCCGAACCAAAGACTGCATCCACACCTTCACCGGACACACCAGTGCTGTCACATCCATGTGCAGTCTTGGCGGGGATCTCTTTTGCAGCGTCAGCGACGACAAAACGATCAAGCTATGGAGCTCCCGGACCAAAGACTGCATCCACGCCTTCACCGGACACACCAATAGGGTCACATCCATGTGCAGTCTTGGCGGGGATCTCTTTTGCAGCGCCAGCTGGGACACCACCATCAAGCTATGGAACTCCCGAACCAAAGACTGCATCCACACCTTCACCGGACACACCAGTGCTGTCACATCCATGTGCAGTCTTGGCGGGGATCTCTTTTGCAGCGTCAGCGACGACAAAACGATCAAGCTATGGAGCTCCCGGACCAAAGACTGCGTCCACACCTTCACCGGACACACCAATAGGGTCAGATCCATGTGCAGTTTTGGCAGGGATCTCTTTTGCAGCGCCAGCGAGGACAAAGCCATTAAGCTATGGAACTCCCGAACCAAAGACTGCGTCCACACCTTCACCGGACACACCAGTGCTGTCAGACACTGTCAGATCCATGTGCAGTCTTGGCGGGGATCTCTTTTGCAGCGCCAGCGACGACGAAACGATCAAGCTATGGAATGTCCCCCAGGCTGGCCTCGTGACTACGCGCGCAACATGACACAAGCCTTCCGCAGGCCCACGTGGCGCACGCCGCGACCTTGGCGAGCCAGAGTGGACTTCAGGAGGCGCGCCTGCCCGTTTTGTCCTCTTCTGCCCGTGTTTCTTCTCACCCTTTTTTGTAACCGTGTTCCTTCCCGTGTTTTTTTCCGTGATTCTTCCTGTTTCTCTTTGCCCCTGTTTTTCCCGCTTTGCTCCTTTTTTTCTTTTTCTTTTTAAGCTATGAGATTGCATCATCTCTCATACTCTCTCGTCATGCTTCTCTCCTTTTCCACAAGAGTTTGCAAAGATGAAGTGCCAGTGGGGGTATGCGTTCACTCAAGGCAATGCGACAAAGTTGCAGAAACACAATATACACACTTGCGAAACTTGTGCAACGTGCACAACACACCTGATGTCAACATCAGAGTGCTCCTGTCCGACAAGGAATCTCTTCCTACCCGCTGCATGTCATTTGCTAAATGTCGGGAGGCGTGTTTTGTGTGACTTTGATCGTTTTGAGCCTTCCCCATCACACGTACGCGTACACGTACACCACGTACTCACACACGTACACCCCCGCATGAGACAGGTGCTGATTTGTCATGGTTCTCGCACATTTCCGGCAAAGATGCCAAGAAGTCGCAAACGAAGCGCAGACGTTGCTCTTTCGGTGTACGATGGTTCCAGCTGATTTTTGCTTTCCCACAAAATGATGGGGAGCCCATTCGGCAGGGTTTGTCAGGGAAAGCAGCGCGTTTCAAAGCTTTGGGGCTTGATGTTTTGTAACACGCGCACGGGAAGTTGCCGGCGGGACTCCCAAGCTTCCAGGCGGCGAGTGCGGCCAAAGACACAGTGCGACCGCGAGAGGGCGAGACGAGAGCCCTTTGAAGCAACAAGAAATTGATGGGTGTGTCTTGTTTTGTGGGTACCCAGTTTGTTAGTGTTTTAAAGGGAAACCAAAAGGAAAACCACCATTTCGGGGGGTGCCCTTAAAAAAGACACGCCCAACTACCCGTAGCTCTTTAGTTTGACCACTTTGCCTGCATGGCTTTGCTCGTCCCCATGGGTTTGGGGGGGCTCCAATCGATCCATCAAGGCCTGTCAGTCGAGGCCTCCAAGAAAATATTCAGTGCTTGCAATTTGCTGGGCGTTGAAATGTCCAAGGCCGAGAATCCACATTTGAAGCCGCAGGCCGGATTCGCCCGGATTCGCTCGCGGGTGAACTGTGTGGCCTAAGGAAGAGCCGCAGATCGGCATTCTTCCCACGACCAAGTGGGAAGTGCCGCCCTTGCGCTCGCAATCTGACATTCGCGCTGTGCCATTTGTTAAGGACATCTCACTGCAGCGAGGCTTACTGGAGGACGACGTGAGTATTGTTGCATGGCCCACTAGAACGGGTTCTTTAGTCTCTCGCCTATGCCGCCATCTCCCCGTCGGCAACAGCTTCTTTCTCCCAGGAGCTGCGGGCGAACGATGGCATAAGAGCAGTCTGCCGGGAGATTGGTCGCATTGCCAACGCGCGGCCGCCGCGTTTGTTTTTCGCAGTTTGCTTTGCTGATTTGTGGCTTTGCTCACTTGAGCTTTGCCGGACTGGTGTCAGACTGGCACATGGCAGGATGTGGAAGTGAAGGTTGGCAGCTCAGTCTGTTTCTCCATTGGCATTACGCCGAGCGAGCTTCAGATCCCAGGCTCAAGAGCTGCCCTTTGTGGTAGCCGAGGACAGATCGTTGCGAGATCGGTGCGGTCATACTGAGCCATGTCTCAAAACGGCCTTTCTGTTGGACACGACAGGGCACGCCGCAACCGCAGGTTGCCTGGTCGATTCAACGGGGTCTCTTTTTTTTTTTTGAGGGTACCTTATTTTTGGTGGTTTTAAAGGGAAAGCAAAGAGGAAAACCACCATGTTGTGTGGTCCCCTACAAAAAGACACACTCAAAGGTTGGAGTGGGCCTCAATCCAGCATGCTCAGCACTTTGAAGCATCGCTGCAGCAACTCTAGTCAGGATTTTCTCGTCGGTTCGGTATAAATGGTTGGAACCCTGAAAAGTCTTGCTTTGCAACCCTCAGAGGGGTACCAGCGGAAGACACCCAACTCTGTGTGGAGATTTCGTCACATGTGAACTGAGCTCGGGGACATGAACAGTTGTTGCGTGGTGCGGAAGCATGACAAGTTTTTCCCAGTGCGGAAGCACTTAGATTTGTTGTGCGATGACTGCATCACAACTGACCTCAGTTTGGCGGGAACGTTGAACATTTGCTGCTAGGTGCTGCTAAACTCGGTTTGTGGTAGACCTAGCGCAGCTAGTCGAACTGTTTGCAGAGGAGCAGAGACGGCGTTGATTTTCTGGTTCAAACACCTGAGCGTTTTTGATGCACGAACCAATCCATGTTTTTCGGGGGAAAAGAGGTTTCCGTGTCCCGGTTTTCCCTACCGGGTTTGGTTTCAACGTCCCTAGGCCGAACTAGGGGAACTTAACGCTTCTCGTGTGTGTGTGTGTGTGTGTGCGTGTGCGTCTGTGTGGGTGTTTGTGTTTCTGTATTTTTGTTTTGTTTGTGTTTTTGTTTTGGTGTTAGGTAGTTGCTGATTTGTTTTGGTGTCTGTGTATATGTGTGTGCGCGCGTGTTTGCTTGTGCGTTTATGTTTGCGTTTGCGTTTGTGCGTGTGTGTTTTCGAGCCTTCCCTCGTCTTTGTTTTTGTGTCTGTGTATATGCGTGTGTGTATGAACCTTCCTAGTCCATGGAGGCAGGGAGTCACTTTCATTTGACACAGGGGGGCAGTGCACGGCTGACAGTCACTGCTCAACGAAGACACTGTCAGACCGTGGTGATGCGGCATGGGACGCCATGCTGTGTACCCTCAACTTTTTCCAGCGAAGTCACCACTCCGAGCAGGTAGCCTTGTCCGTGTGCATGACAACGATTTATGTTTTGGATGCCCTAAACGTTCAGTGCCCGACTGCTAGTGATTTGACTGAAAATGTGTGTGAAACGCTCGGCTCGTCCGGCATGGCGCCGAGTGAGCCGGGGGAACACCCCGTCCTCCCTCAGAAAGCGAGTTCAGTGATTCGTCCGGAGGTTGATTTCTTGAGGTTCCCGGTTGCTCGGAGGCCCACCTCAAGGCCTGTTAACTGCACTTTGGTTGTTCAGATTCAGGTTCCCTCGTTTGCACGGCAAGGCTGCATGCGAGGCTTTGAGGTCGTTTTGATCCTGCCACACTCCCTCCTGTGCAGATATGCAGTGCCTGCTCTGCACGCATTGCGTTGCGCTGCCTGCGTTGCTTGCACTGCCTGCACTGTTCGCATTCTGCAGTGCTTTTGGTTTCCTCATGTTGTTGATGACTCAAGCCGGTGCGCGTAGAGCTCACCGCGCGGAGCGACGCTGTCGTGCCTCATCCGAGAAGAAGCGAGGTCAGTTATGTGCATTCATGCAGCGGATTTAGCGTTGTGAACATGTCATTTCTTTGCCTTGTCCTGCGCGATCCGGTTCATGTTTCATGCATATTGCTGTGGACCATCCTTTCCCCGAGATGCACGCGAACCTGGCCCTGCCATGGAAGACGTCCACGTGATATCGTCACAAGAGGCCCAACCGATGACAGCTGTTTCCACTGACGGTCTCTTCGAGCCAGCTGGGCCTCGCGATGCCAACGGTGCACCCGGTCATGCCCAACCTTCTTTGTTGTTGGCGGAGTACTGTTTCCCTCCGCCCCCTGTGGCTTCTCACCTTGCCCCTGAGCCGACTACCAACCGGGAGTGTCCTTTGTCTCCCGCTTCGGAAAAGCTGCCTTCTTCTCCAATTACACCGTTATTGACGCCACGTTCCAGCACCTCATCTTCGGATGATGATACCTTTTCTTCATCTTCGGCTCGAACAGGGCCCGTGAAGCCCACTGACCATGGCGTTGTCGATCCGCATCAACCAATGGCTGCACCTACATGGGCAGATGAGTTGGACCAACACCTTCATGCCCTGAAAACTGAAAACCGATGCCAGGGTCGGCCAAGCTATGCGGCCGTCGCGAAGAAGCTGAACATGTCCATTGTTGACGCTCAAACCCGTTGGCAAGGCATCAAAGGAGGGGTGAAGCCTTTTTCAAAATGAAGTGATCCTTGACGCCAACTTCAAGTCTAGGTGTTTCACCGCGGCGTTTCTTCCGTTTGCTGCCCAAGCCCTTCGGGGCTCCTGGTCCATGGAGGCAGGGAGTCACTTCCATTTGACACAGAGGGGCAGTGCACGGCTGACAGTCACTGCCCAACAAAGACACTGTGAGACCGTGGTGACGCGGCATGGGACGCCATGCTGTGTACCGGCAACTTTTTCCAGCGAAGTCACCACTCCGAGCAGGTAGCCTTGTCCGTGTACAGCTGTACCTTTTCCGGCTTGATAACGATTTATGTTTTGGATGCCCTAAACGTTCAGTGCCCGACTGCTAGTGATTTGACTGAAAAAGTGTGTGGGGGAGGGGGGGAACCTGTGGATGAAGCTCGTGAGGTAAGCATGACTGATATGGCGAATGCGGATGCCCTGAAATCCTTAAACCCAGAAACCTCAGCGTGAATCCAGTGCGTCCGTGAGCGCACTTTCTGGTCGGCTCATATTGCGAATGCCGGACTTTGTGACAACGCTAAAGCCAAAGCAAGCAAAACTCCAGGCAACTGGGGCGTTAGCAAAGAGCAACGTCTGCGATTCAGGTCATGGCAAAGGGTCAATGCTTGCAGGACCTGGTGAAGAACATCGGGGAGCACCAGCTGCAAGCCATCCTTGCATACACGCACGATTTTCAGGACACCGCAAAGACCCTTTTTGGTATCCCTTGGCGGCGCAAGATCGGCGGCAGGGTCCCTTTCAAGGGCGGTATTGACAACCCCCCCCTTCCCAACCCCATTTTTCTGTTGCCCGGACCCATGATTCCATAGGATGGAGTCAATGGAAGCGAGTTGCATTGAGAGGCGCCGTCCGGCAAAGCCGGAAATCTCTACTTCGAGCTGAACAACGCCCTCCGAAAGCGTGGGGTGGAAGACCGGGCTTCTATGATGAGGACCTGGGGCCCATTTGTTTGCTATGCTTCGGCCTGAGTGAAGGAACCTGTTTTTTTTTTGCTCCTGCCGTAGTATAGCAAACCAGGGCTTGCCAGGTTGTATTCATATATATATATATATATATACAAATTGATTAAGCCAGGGGCTTCCCAACCATCTTGGTTGCTCTTGCATATGGTAGCTTGCCTGGAAAATGCGGCAACCCGGATGACTTTGGGGAGAGAACTTGAAACTTTGCTCTCTGAGGCATTGAAGGGTATGGGTCAGCTGCCTGCGCACCAAGGCCCGTGTTGTGACATGTTCATGTCCCATTTTTTTGATCCGATCTGCGAGGTGTGGTGTACCGGGGCATGCCCGGAAAAGATTTTGTGCTTAGCCAGTACAAGAAAGGGCGCAGAGGGCTCAGCCTTCTTCGGAGTGTCTGCGAAGCTCTGCGCAAAATCGGAACGAAGCTCAGGTCCCATCCAGTGGGGCGCGTTTTCTTCCACCTCAACCTTCAAAGCCAGCTCCGTACAATTCATGGAGGCCGCTTCATGCCCATGCTATGAATTTAAACAGGGCCTCGGGTCCCTCAAAAGTGGGAGGTGGACGATTGAGACATCAATCGTCCACCTCCCCAATTAGACCCCCTCCCCATGGTTTCTGGGCTCAGCCGGACGTAACTTGAGCCAGGCAGATGGTGTCCTTCTGAAGATCGATGTTCAGAGCGGACGGAAGCTCGGTCAAGGCCTCGGTCGGTGAGGCCATTGGCCGACCTTACCGAGCTATGAAAAGAGGACCCCTGTGCTTTGCGACACATTGGCCAAACAGGGTTCCTTAAAGGGGACACATTTTGCATATGCACTCACATCAAATGCCAGCTGTTTCCTGCGTCCAGGTCGATTTTGAGGTGTGTCCTTCAAGGAACCCTGCCAAATCAGATTGTTTGCGTTTGTGAAGCTCGTTTTCACAAGTCCGGCGCAGGAGCATGCGTAACACGCCTGAGGTGCCATCTCATTTTTCCCCCAGGAGGAGGAGGCCGAGATCTTGTGTGCTGAGTGTCGACTTTGCTGGGATCAATCTTGATTCGAGTTTGGAAAGCGCCGCTCGGATGGGCTTATGCATGTCAAGGAACTATCTAGAGTCTCCAACCCCCCGTGATTCAGGGGCCATGCTCCTATTTTGTTTGGGGTCTTGGAGATGCTTTGTATGCAACAGACCATGCAAATTAAAGCTGCGATTGACGCAGCCGTTGGGGCGCATAGCTTGTGGCGTCTCAGCGCCAAGGGGCCCAGGGTAAAGCGAAACCGCTCGGTTTCAGTGCACAAACATGGGCAAACATGATAACTGCCAGCGCGTAACACCAAAAACACGAACATGACGTGGCAGCTCTAACATTCGCTCTTATCTATTGTTGCCCCGCCCTGTCACCTTTCAAAGGCAACACGTCGACCCGGTTTTGACCCTGCAGGTGATACTGTCGCCCAACTGCAGATTCGTAGTCACATCCGATTCCTACGAGCAAGATGGAGTGACACTGCCAGCATCTCAGTGCCTGGGATGCCTCTGGGAGATTCGCGGAGCGGGATGCCGATCGCTGGGTCAACGCGGGACCAAGGGTGGACCTAGTGGAAACGACGACAGATGCCTTCATCTCCTGACTTGCTTGCGCTTTTGATTTTGGTTTCACAAGATAAGTTTCACAGCACTACGAGCACATCCCCAGGGCGTCCGCAGCCCGCAGCCCGCAGGAAGCTTGCCGGACAGAGACAGTTGCGTGCTTCAATTGAGCCCCTTCAAAATTTCAGTCCACCACGACCAAAACCTCCAACCGAATTGGGTCACTCTTTTGGATGCCGAAAACCATGTGGAAAGCGGCAGCTGCGGAAATCTAGCGTATCACTTCCCGGGCGCCCTGTAAGAATGACGGACCGACCCCGACAGACGTTGCAAAAGAGGGCCGTCCGGCGGTGCGTGCTGCAAGCCACGGTCTCTCGAAATTTGGGACCGATTCCTTAAGGGTTTCTCTTGCCATCCCAGAGGGGGGGGGGCATATTTTTTTGAGAAACGCCGGAGCCGAAGTGTTTCCAAGCCGTCTCCCGTTGATGAAAAGCAGTGCTGAAAAGACATATATATATATATGTTAATATATATATATATATATATATAATATTGTCAGGTCGCGCAAGAGGTTTGCCAAAAATTCTATCAACGAGGCTTCCCTTTGAGGCCGATGGCCTGGATCCTTTGTGCCAACAGCTTTCAGCTCCCCCAAGTTTGTGACTACATCTTTGTCGGTTGTGAGAGACACCGAACACGTGGGTCGCACTTGACCTGATGAGTTTAACACAGACCGTCTCACAAAAAAAGAAGAACACACGCTCAGTGGCATGCACCTTCATAATACCCAGCATATGGTTGTGTGCTTCTTTTTTTTTTTACGACGGGTCTTGAGTTGGTACCCTTTTTGAATGGAAGAGAAACCAAGAGCCGACATCCATATGCGGTCCCTATTTTCCCTACACGCACTTCAGACCTTGAGACTCCTTTGTACTTGAAGGAGCGGGCCCCATCAAATTTTCTCGTCAAGACATGCGCGCGAAAGAAACTCCGAGTGGGGAAAAACCACCTGGCGATGGGTTCCATTTTTGGATTGCATAAGCTTGAACCCAATGGTTGATTTCCAAAAAGGAGAGCCCCTGGGTTGAAGTCGGACGGGTAATCTAATATCAAATTAATGGAACCCGTGGCATGGCTGTGTCCTTTTTGGGAATCGTTGAAACCGCACGCGCGCGAAGGCAAGTCACTGGCTCTACATTGGGTGCTCTGACAAAAGGAACACGTCAAAGGGCCCCCCTGACTGCTGGCGTAAGTGGATCACACGTGAGTCCAAGCAACACATCCGGCAGAACAAACACATAGAGCTTACGAAAAACCTTAAACGCTTCGACTTGTGAGGCCTACAGAACCGGATCGCCGGAGAGAACGCGTTTTTGTTCGAACGTTTGGGTGGAACCGGTTCCAACGAGGTGTTTTCCCGATGACCCTCAGCAGTCCAAGCACCTCAGGGTGGCTCGTCTTCTTGGGCTCGGACCCTCCAACATGGGCGCAACGGTTTTCCTTTAAAACCACCAAACAAGGGGTACCAACTCCAAAAACGACACACCAAAAAGGTGTCCCTGAAATATATCGCCCCTCTCATTGACCTTTCCGGAGGTTGGGAGATGCATTGTGTGTCTTGTTTGAGGGTACCCCTTTTTGGTGGGAAACCAACATGAAAACCCGACATTTGGGGGTTCCCCCTAAAAAAGACTCCCATTTCCAGATCGCAGACCGTTACCAGCTGTTTCAATGGTTTCTGCCTGTCGGCGGGTTCAATTTTGTGTATCCTTTAAGGGAGCGGCAAACACATGACGCCGGCGCCGGCTGCGTTGCCTCCTATGGCGCTCGCTGCGAGCGCTGGGCGCTCTGCTGCGCTTGGGGTGCTTTTGGCAAGAGGTCGGCGGGGCGGCGCGGAAGGGGGCTATGGTCTTTATGTGGCCTCTGAATTTGATAGTTGGAACCACCTCATGTCAATTTTGAGAGTTGGAACCACCTCATTTCAGTGGTTGTTGGACAAAATCATCCCCCACCTCCACCGAGTTCTGATGTCCACCATTTCGAGTCCCCAGCTTTAAAAAAACCACACGGCCATGTCTTTCTTCAGCTGAAAGGTGTGACCCCAGCTGAGTCGGAACTTGGGGAGCCATTTGAGCCATTTGAGCCACTTGCAATCAAAACCCAGACAAATCGGTGCGGATTGCTGCCTTTCTGTTACATCTTTACATTGGTTTGGGTAGACCATTTCAATACCGATCGGTTTGATTGTGGCTCATTTGTTGCAGCTGTTCTTTTTGTGTTCGGCTGACATTGGCGTTGCAGCCCGGTCTTTTCTGAAAAGGAACCAGTCGAATGCATGGGGCGATGCGCCGAAGTGCCGAAGTGCCCCGAAGCCGTACGGGAGGTGATGTTTTTTTTGTCAGGTTTTGCACAAGGGTCGCCGGCCCGGATCACCTCCAAATACCCAAGGCCGCGTTTGGTAGTTGGTATTTTGTTGAAAACCGATCGGTTGAAACCAGGGTAAATACCGATCCCTTATTTAGTAAAGAGTCGACATACCCTGAAAAAAGCTGGGGTATTTGGAGGTTACGGGGGGTTATTTTGTAGGGTAATGGGTGTGTGCTGGAAGGGTATCTAGTTATTGATGTTTGAACTACCCAGGTGTTCTTTGGGGGTATTTGAAGAAGGTATCGAATTTTCGTAGGAAGATGATCGGTTGAATCCATAAACATGGATAGGGTTTACAGATGTTTTATTTTGGAAGCCATCCCTTACACACGGGCTACGATTCCATTCCCCCAAACACCGAGGGTACCAAAAAAGGGTAGCTACCAAAAGTGTATCGAGGCAAAGGGGGGGGGTCTCCTCCAAATCGACATGAGTATCTAGTGGAGCCCCCTTTTTGAAATGCTTTTCGTCGGGAAAGCCGAGAGGAATTCGAATTCCCTGTTTGGCACTTACAGGGGTCACCCCCCAATGCCGAGTTTGACTCCGGAGGGGAATGTGCCCCTTGTTTAGAGGTATCCCGAAAATGGGCTTAGCGGTTCTCCGGATTGGTTTTCCTTTACCACCAAAAAATCGGGCTAGCTTTCGCCTAAGACGAGCCCACAAATTTCCCCTTCAACTGTTCGAGAAACCTCATGGCGAATGGGGGTAAAAAAGGGGGTCGTTTTGGTGCAGGTGCCTTCTTGGCACTCTGGGAACATGAACTTGATCTTCGCTGAAAAAACACAGGTTGCATTTCTGCTGAATTTCACTTTGAAACGAGAGGAACATCTTGAGGGGCGATTTCGTTTGTAACTGGGGTTTGCTTGTCCATGAGGTAGGTTTTTGCGAGAAGGGTCCGAAGGTTTTCGAGCGTTCTCTTTGCTCCGAAGCGCGAGGCTGGCATGGCGCGCAAGCCGCGGTCGCAGATCGCACCGAAGGCGAATGAACGGCTGCCAGAGATTCGAGTCGATTTCCCGGGCTCGATGTCGATCGGCTGGTTTGAGACGTGGGCCTTTTGAAGCATTTGGACCAATTTCAGAAAAGGGTTCGGCAAAAGCCCTCGAAATGTCCTTGGGACACAGTCTTCACGGCAAAAGGGACTTTGGGCACTTTGGGCGTTACTTCTCCGGTTTGGACCATGCGGCAAACAGTTTGAGTTTTTTACCGACCCGCAGTTTTGCATACCTGGAGTCTCCTTTTGACCCGAATCAGACATGGGGTGATTACTCAAAAGAAAGGGGTCATGGGCAACCTATTTTTGATTCGGGTCAGAAGGAGACTCCAGGTATCGGTATTTTGAGCACATCGAAAGATGGGACCTTTTCGTTTGTAATTTGGATTGGAGATGTTTCTCAGGCCGCTTCGAAGCCATCGATCCAACAACCAGAATTTCAAATCTTTAATCCCAGGTCCCATCCAAACCAACTGAGGGTTATGATGAGTGGATTGGCAAAGAACTTAATGGATAATTTGGACAACCATGGTACCCCCTACTCCAAATACCCCAGCTTTTTTTAGGGTATGATGTCAACCCTTTACTAAAAAGGTGGCATTTACCATGGGAAACCGATCGGTTCATCAAAAAATGCCGTCCGTTTGTTTGCTTTCTTGCTGCCCTGAAAAGCAATAGGACTCCTATGTGTGGTAGAAAAACAAGCCAGAAAAGGCTTAACCAAGCACCTCCAAAGGGTGTTCGAGTCTTGTTTCCTCCTTTGGGTTTTTCTTCAGAAACCGGCAAATCGTTTTTTTCATCGCAAATCGGCTTCTCGGTTTGCATCGCTTTGCGCTGGGCTTAGCTAAGAGGGTGGCTGAAAGGTTCCATGAGGCCCCCCACATGAATCACCTCGGCCCCGAAAGCGGAGAGAAGAGGCCTGGTTGGACATGGAATCAACCCTCCCCCCGTAACCACCCAATACCAACGCTTTTTTTAGGGGTATGTCGACCCTTTACTACAAAAAGGATCGGTATTTACCATGGAAATCCGATGTTTTTCGGAGAAAATACCAACTACCAAACGCGGCCTTTGGTATTTGGAGCTTTGCGGGGTAAGGTCCAGGACCTGTCAACCTCAGGGGGGGAGGAGTAACCTAGAGGCCCCCCGCGTAACAGTCTCACTCCCTGAGTTCCGGGACTCGGACTTTAGTATCTTTTGGGGTTTGGACCATTTGAGTGGTAGATAAAAAGTTTGGGTACTCTTTTTGGCCAATCCACTCGATCGGTGAGCTGTAAGAAGGGGCCCTTTTGAGTATTCAAGGACCCTTGTGAGCTGATCTTTGCTCAAACCTCAGACCTCCTAAGGGAAAGTTTACATCGTGGCTATAGAGTTTCGTTTTTGCCCTGCTAGTTGGTGGAAACCTTCTTTCGTTTTCGGATTTTTCGCAGTCATCTTGCTTGGAGACCCCCTGGCCCCAAAAAACGGCCGGAAATGGGAGGGGGGGGGGGGGCGGCGGCCGTAAAGTTTAGCTTTGGGAAACCAAAGCAAGCCCGGTTTTCCGGGTTAGACGAATCTATCCAACTCAACCGGCCAGATACCAGCTGTTTCGACGGGTGATGGCATTTACCGGGTGATTTTGCG